ATTTGCAGAAGGAAAGAGAGTGTTCAGCATAAACCATATTGTTTGTACAGGCAGTTTGGGCACAGCAGCCACTCTTACCAGTTCTGGGGAGGGTAGGAGCTCCCCAAAACAGAAGTTCTCATATACCAGCCGAGAGCCAGCCTTGCAGAGGAGAGCAGTGGGACCTGCTGTGCTAGTGCTGTTTTGCATGGAATGCTCCTGGCATCTAAAGGGTGGAGGCCAGGGGAGCCCCGAAACCTCTGCAGTGCCCAGGGTGCAACAGAGAACTGCGAGGTCCCCCTGACATTAGGTTTGGGGGGAGGAAGCCCAGGCGAGGCTTCAAGGGAGCCAGGGAGGGTCAGGGCCATCCCTTCAGCTTGGTGGCCTCTGGGCGTTTCTGTTCGAAGACTGCTTGAACTCTACGCCCTTTCTTATCTAATCTAATCTAATCCAGCTCTCCGCTCACGGCTCTAGGACTCTTCTTTCCCTTCAGATGTGACTTAGGGAAAATACCACTGAAAAGCAAAGATTCAGCTAAAACAGAGGAAAACAAACCGCCTCTAAATAGTCAAAATTATTTTCAGGCGATTTCTTCCAGAGATTGAAACTGCCGTGGTGGCGGCATTTTCTTAGTAACTTAATCTCCCTAGTTTTTAACATATCATTAGACTGAAATTAAGATCTCTAACTAGATCACTGGAGGTCTCAGGCTCTAAAGTTCTCCGTGCAGTAACTGGGCAGAGGACCAGTAAATCTGCCGGGAGGGGGCGGGTGGCAAGGGGCTGCTGGGAGCGCCCGTTCCCCTCTGCTGGCCGGTCGGTGGACTTCTGCCACTGGCCGGACCCACACTCCGCTTCCCTCCAGCTTGCAGTTCGGCCCTGAGGTTGTGGTGTTTCTTCCTTCCTTCCTTCCTTCCTTCCTTTCTTCCTTCCTTTCTTTCTTTCTTTCCTTTTTTTTTTTTAAGATTGTATTTATTTATTTGACAGAGATCACAAGTAGACAGAGAGGCAGGCAGAGAGAGAGAGGGAAGCAGGCTCCCTGCTAAGCAGAGAGCCCGATGCGGGACTCGATCCCAGGACCCTGAGATCATGACCTGAGCGGAAGGCAGCTTAACCCACTGAGCCACCCAGGCGCCCTGGTGTTTTATAAGCAGCACACCCCTCTCTCTGAAAGAAAGAAGAAAAGAAGAAGAAAGGGAAAAAAAGGGCAAAGGCAGACTCCAGACTCCTCGTGCTTTCCAGGCACTTGGGAGGAGGCAGGGTGGGTGACCTTCTGGCTGGGCCTTTGGATTTGTGGCTGTTTGTGAGAGCTGCTTTTTGAGGGAATTCCCACATCTCTTGAGGGCTCCGTAGAGTAGTGAGAGCTTTGTTTTTATTTTTATTTTAAATCTCTCCCAATCTTTTTTCAATGGGAAGCTGAGGATTGTTGCTATTGATAGCTTCTTCTCACAGCTGCACTGGGCTCAGCTGGAATTCTTGTCATTGTCTCTCTAAAAGGAACCAAATCGGGAGTTCACCACTGTTGCTCTTGAGGGAGACTTCAAGTTCTCAGCATGATTTTACTTAAACTTAGGTTTCAGCGCTGCTGGGAGGAAACATGAAAGTCCTAGCTAGTAATTTTAGTCCTTAAAAGAAAAACAAATCCACCTTACAGTTTTGTTTGCTTAAAACTAAAATGGGCACACTCCCTCAGCCATCTGTCAGGTCAGGGGGAACGAGCGTGCGAGCCGGGGGAGCTGTTTCTAGACTCCTGTGCACATCTGCACAGTCGTGCTGAACACGGAGTGACGGTAGAGTCAGGATCCAGGGATCCTGGTGGCCAAATGTCTGAACTAGAACTTTGTTTCTCACCAGCGGGACTCAGCCGGGGCCTTCCTTCCCCACGAGCGTCTTGAGCTTCGGTATTTCTCTCTGTATCTGGGTGGATGGAGAGTCTTGATAGTCTCTGTGTACACTGAAAACCGTGAGTGCACGTCACCATCTGTAGATCCATGCAGCACCGGGGCGCTCTGGTCTCCTCCCTTTGCCTGTTTGTCGCTCTGTTCTCCGACAGGGAGCGATCTGGCTCTCTTTATCCTCAGCATCTTTACTGGTTTGCTCAGCCCTCTTGCATGTAACCAACCAACCCTGCCGCCCCTGCCTCCATCTCCCCTCAGACCCCGACTCCCCCACATTGTGCTCCTACTGCTGTATTCTCCCCACTCGCCCCAGGACTTACCCTCCGCTGCCTTCTGGGGTTCCAGCACCCCACACTAGGGTGCTGGAACCTGCTGGAACCGTTGCTTTCACCCTCCGCACAACACGGAACCCTTCTCAGCCAGTCCAGGCTCTAAACTCTGTCCTGGGATTCCCACACGCCCTCCTAACCTCACTTGTTCTCCAGCATCCCCCTGGGTTGCCATGGCTCCTTTTACCCCCGCCCCCAGTGCCGAAACCTCGGGTACCCTTTCAGGGCTCTCATACCCTGCACTGGGCCACCTCCCAGCTCTTTCCCAAGTAGACGCCTTCACCCTAGAAAGGCTTCAGCACTCTGGCTGGGCCATTTCTGGCCCCACCCATGCTGTGCAGTACAACTCTTTTTCTTTCTAGAACTCCAACCTTCTGCGCCCTTCTACAAGGACACCCTCTGGGGTACTGGCATGTCTGTTCTTATTCTAGACAGTGTAGAGCATCACCAGTTTTATGCTAGCAGCTCTACTTAAAGAGAAAGTCTCCAGAGACATCCAGCAAATACCAGTACCCCATGAGATCCATCACAGAATCAGTGTCTTAGGAATTGGAAAGACCTTTAAGGTCCTTCAGCCCTAACTTGATGCATGGATGATTTCATTATAACTTGTTAATGAGAAGTTTTCTGATTTGAAATAAAAAAAAAAAAACCCTAGTCTACTTCATTTCCAAATAGGTTTCATTGTTAAGGTGGTTTTAAACCCTGCTTGTCTTGCGAGTTTGCCTGTAAATCCTTTCTGTTGTTTAAACAGACCAGTTTGATTGTAGAAATACTTTGCAGGGAAATGGCATTCACTTCGAGGTGATCTGCAAGTATTCTAATGTGTGATCTTCCCATCACGGCATCCCTCTGTGAATTAGTGCTTTACAAGAGAAACATTGCTGAGGCTCAGAGAATAGAATCCAAGAGTCTGTTTCAGTGTCTAGAAGGACTACTTTTAGCTATAAATATTCAGCATATTGTTCAATAAATCGTAACTTAGGGGGAAATTGTGCAGGATGAGAGGAACCAGTCTACGCAGCTGATCCAGACTGACTCCCTGATAGGTTCTACTCCATGTTTTTCCTGTCTCCATTTACCTTTCCCCTGTCTTAGGGGGTCTGAATGACCGTCAAGGGCAGCTCTATCAAGCAGACCTTTCTGCGATGGGAGACATCTGTATTTCTGCTATTAGGTGCCCTCTAGCCACATATGACCATTGAGAATTTGAAATGTGGCTGGTCTGACAGAGGAGCTGAATTTTAGTCTAATTTAAATGGCCTCCTGTGGCTACTTGCTTTCGCAAGGATTTAGGGAATGTGCCTGTTCCTTTCTTTCTTAACTGGGATGGGGGAAGTACCTTTTGCTTGTAGCTCAGACACTTAAAAGAATTACCAGAAGAAAGGGTTCTGAGGATTTGAAGGCCATCTGGCTGTGGGGCGTGTTGCTGTGTTTTCTGGAGTTTCTATAGCTGAGCTGGCTGGAAAGGGGAACATTCCCCTTCTCCACTCATTGCTTTGTGTGTTTGGGACCTGAAGCTCGGTGCTGGGTAAACCATGATGACCTTTTCAATCAGAGAATGGTTGTTCTTCAGCTGTGGATGTATGGGTAAGGTGTTCTTTAGCTACAACCTCCAAATAAGTATAAGAAACCTAAAAAAATTACTGTTCCTTTCTCCCAGTGCAAGAAAAAAAGAAAAAAAGGAAGAGAGAGAGACTGATGGGGTCACAGGGTGTATAGGTTTTGGTTCTTTCTTATGTGCAGACTCGTATCCGCTTGTCTGATGGCATTGTCTATGAGAGGTACCGCCCCCCAGAACTTTCCCTGGTTCAGACCAGTGGGGGGTAGATTCATGTGAGTACTGCTTCTACATCTGATGTGTGTTTCACTTCTTCCTGGAACCTGCTTTATATTATTCATTTCTTTGATGGTGAATACTACTGGTCCCTCAACCTATGTAGTGTTTATGCTGTGTAACCTCTCTGCCCTGTGGGAATCTTGCCTTCCAGGAGAAAGTTCCTTACCATCTGGTCTCCCCCAGAACTCCCCTTTGACTTCTGGCTTACTAAATTTGTGTTCGTGTGTTTGTCTCTTATGAAGATCTCAATGGCACTAGACCCATGGATGTCCTTTCTTCACTCCATTTTCTTTTAGACATCCTTGCTACCCAGTTGTTAAGACTGGTTCCCTCCTTTGGTGAAGATAGTTTTTTCCACTCATTGTTCTCAACACCAATTCAGTCTTCTTGTGTGCGGGTGGCCTTGGGGATGGAGGCTGTCTTCCCTGCAGCACCTCCGTAGGCCAAGGAGGCCATTCAGTAGCCGGAAGCAGTCCTTCACCTCTTCCGGTTTTACCCCCGGTGCCGCCCATTGTTTCCCTCTCTTCCGATCTGAAGGATGCAGCCAGCTCTCAGTTCTTTTTCACGTTAGATACCTCAGCCATGACTCATGGTAACACGTTGATGTTTCTTCCAAATAGTCAGCCATTCAGCTTCTCTTTTTCCATGCACACACGTACAGATTTCTTGCTTGCTTTCCGAGCTTGGCATATTACAAGCATTTCCTCAAAACCTGAAGGACTTCTCCCCAGTCAGATCTTCATGACGGCACGTGACTGAGCCAGACCTTAGGTTCTCACGCTGTATAATACTGTCAATACTGACCAATGCCGCAGAGCGCGATTGCCCAGAAAATCGAGACCTGTGAAGACCTGTGAGAACCCACTTCCTGCCCTAAGTCGAACGTCCGAGTGTGTCCTATCCTGACCTGCGGGCCGGCGGCAACGTTCCAGTCACGCTTCTTGCTCTGTTGCAGTCCCCGGCGGTACTTCCTGCTGTCCTCTCAGATGGCTGTCCACCCTGAGTACAGAGAAGACCTGGAAGCCCTGCAGGCCAAACACGCGGAGTCGGTGCTAGTGCTGGACAAGTGCACCAACCTGTCAGAGGGCGTCCCCTGGGTGCGCAGGCGCTGCCACGAGCACCAGGTCTACGAGTACCCCCAGGTGCTGCAGGTGAGCTCCCGTGCGCCCAGGAGAGGGCCCTTCCCGAAGCAGTGCACCCCAGCAGAAGGCCTTGTTCTCCCCATGCTGCCAGAGCATCCGCCCCAGGGATGACGAGGACGTAGCCCAGCTCCCTGGCAGCCACGGGGGCCCTGAGGAGTGGCGGCGGCCGGCCTGCTATGTGTGGAGAGCTGCCTGGCCTCTGAGTGCTCCCGCTCCCATTGGACGCTCGTCGCCCTCCAGAGCCACATCCGCCGTGGGCTTGGGGAGAAGTCATTTGGCCAGAGTGGGCAACCATATTTCACTTTTACCCCTGTACTTGTAAGCCCGTCCAGAGAGATCGCCTTCTCGAAGGGGGCAGCCTGTATCCTCTGACGTGTAGGCCCACGAGGCCACAGTCCGCTTTTCCTAGGAACGGAAGGTTTTCATTTTTTGTCACTGTTTTATCTGTTGGTACTTTGCTACCCTCGCCATGTCCTTCCTACTGGTAGCACGTCCTTTGCCTGAGTTGTGGCCATGCCACTGTTTCCATATGCCTGGGGAAGAGTAGTCCTTTGGGGGATATTTTAAGCATAAGTAGGATGTTTGACATTCCAGGGTCAGGGGGACAAGGAAAGGAGAAAGTGAGTTTTGTTCCCTGAAATACTTAAAATAGTTCAAGGAGAAATAGCAAGGAGCTGGTGTGATCTTTTTTTTTACCCCTCATCTCCAAAGAGAACTGGGCCATGCTGAGATTGTTAAAATACTTTCTCTCAGAAAGTGCTGCATCTCCTCTGGAATGTCTGACTGATAACGGTGGTGATGTGAGCAGGAGTATTTATAGTAACCTTTGTCTAGACAGGAAAAATGGTTATCAGCACGTGTGTCCACATCTGGATGCCGACTCCTCCGGGCAGGCCGAGCTGTCCACCTGCACCCCTAGGCGCCATGACCGATTCTCTTCCTTGGCCCCTGCTGCTCTCTCGTGTATCTTGGAGGAGTTTGGAATTTTTCTTTTTTTCTGAGCTTTCCTTTTCTCTAGCTGTAAAGATGAAACAGTGGGTTTTTTGTTGTTGTTGTTTTTGTTTTTTTAATCTTTTTTCTTCCTCCCGAGGAGGCAAACACTGGGAGAAACTGAGCGTTAGAGAGAGGGTTGTTTCTTATTTTGGCTTACCTCTTGCAACCGTTTGTCCTCCTGTACGTCTGTCATTTTCTGAAATGTTCCCCACATTAACTCGGCTTGAGGGAGGGAGGGGAGAAGCAGTTTTTTGAGACTTTGCTTTCTGTTTGATTTATTGTTCTAAGAGGGACACATCTGTATGTTTTCAGAGGCACTGCATTCATGACATGAGTGTCTGCTAGGTACAGAGCACACTGCTCGAAGCCACGAGAAGTAGAAAGATGAAAGTTGATAGCTTCCCTCTAGGGGGTCTTCTAGAAAGCCTGAAATGCCCAGACAAATAATTCTGCTATGAGGTGGGCTGAGGTCAGCCCTCATGCCAAAGTGTGTTTGCCTAGTAGACTAGGGCTGGAAGGAACCCGGTGGTGGGAGGTTCCATTATTGAGTTCCCAGAGAAAGGCTGGGACGTTGGCTCTGGACATTTCAGATGCCACCAGTAGTAGCACTGAGGTGACACTGAAGAGTGGAAATACCAGGCACGGTGGCCAGTTGAGCTTTCCAAGTTCCCCCGGTGTGACCTTTCATCCTTTCACATTTCCCGTCAGGACGTCTCGGTAGTGCTCGGCTTCAGCCCTCGGGAGAAGTGCGGGGTCTGCGGTGATCCGAGTGCGTCAGCAAAACTGGTGTGTGATCCCCACCTCTGCTTGCGTTCCTGCAGGAGGCCACGTTCTGTGTGGTTCTTCGTGGCGCTCGGCTGGGCCAGGCGGCACTGAGTGACGTTTTACGCGCCGGCTGTGTCCCAGTCATCGTTGCAGACTCCTATATTTTGCCTTTCTCTGAAGTTCTGGACTGGAAGAGGTGAGTGTTACCTTCTAATAAACTTTATCACCAGTGGTTCTGTGTGTATTAGATTTCGAAAGCCCCCTTGGTAGTTGTACTGCATTCCGAGGTTGGAGAACTGCTTCTGTAGATTGTTTTGCTGTATTTTCCGTCAGAAGAGTTAGTCGGTTAGCCTAGAGTAGAGGTTCACAAACTGAGGCCTTGGGGCCAAATATGGGAACCTGCCAGGTTTTGTAAATAAAGTTTTATTGAAACACAGCCACACCCACTGACTCACAAATTATCTCCCGGCCATTTCTCTGCTGTAGTGACAGAGCTGAGTAGTTGTGACAGAGAGGATATGGCCCACAAAGCCTAAAATACATACTATCTGGCATTTTACCAAAGATGGACAGCAACCTTGGCCAAGAGCAGTGGTTCTCCACTGTACCCGCACAGTCTGCTCACCTGAAGGACTTTAAAAAATTCTTGGGCCTCCCCCTCAGGAATGCTGCACCTCAAAGCTCTGCGGGTGTGATTTGTAGCCACAGTGGCGAGCGCTGCCCTAGAGACCCTACAGAGCTTGCCTACTGTTACTAGTTGGGGGGGGCGGGCTGCCATGTGCGTGAGACCTTAGAGACCTGCCTGTGCGCAGAGGGACACGCATGGGCCCTGCTTGGTTAGGCCTGCCACTGCTGTAAGGGACAGAAGAGCCCTCTGGTCTCATGTTGTTTCATTGCCCTAGGACTTGGGAGGTTAAAGATGGTTGAAAATTAGCTCCCTTTGTGAATACCTCTGAGGCTTGACTTTGCCTCGGATACTTAATTATCTTCTCCTCTCCCAACTGTTCTGATATTTCTGTTCTTGTCTGATCACCATAGCTATTTGAATAATGCAAGTAGCATTCATTCTTCTGTATCTCCATTCATCTCATGGTTATCAGAAAGTCTCCTGTGAATAGTGCAGTTTCTGCTCTTAAAGAGACTGGGATCTCACAGGGACACACCAAGCATTCTAATAACGTGTGGTGAGTGCTGTAGTAGATGCCTGCACAGGGGCGGAAGCCCGGACAGAGGCTCATTCTGCCAGAAGGATGAGGCTTTATAGTTCTCTTTATCCTAGGGATGTGCTGAGCCACTTCCAATCATTTGAGCGTCCATGGAGACATTTGTTGAGGGCCCTTTACTTGTGGGGTTCTGTGTTAGGTATAGGGATAAAGATGGTCAAGGTCAGACCTTGCCTCCAGGAAGCCCCTCACCTAATGGTGGAAGATGGACAGGTAAACCAGCAATGGCTGACTATAGAGGCAGCCGGGCTGGGTGGGGTAGGAGGAGAATCTCGAGAAGGAGGCGCACACCATTGCCAGCAGTGGAGTTGGTGAGGGCTTCATGGAGGCAGTGACCCTGAGCTGAGGCTGGAAAAATACTCCTGTGAGAATCCAGACCGGCTTGGGTCGTTGTAATTATGGGTAAGTAATGGAAGGGCTCTGGATTTGGAGCCAGAAGGTTGGGTTTCAGGTAGCCAGCTCTCTCACTGGCTAGCTCTGTGATCTTGCCAAGTTATTTCTTTTCTTTCTTCTGTCCTTTTTTTTTTTTTAAAGATTTATTTATTTATTTATTTGACAGAGAGAGATCACAACTAGACAGAGAGGCAGGCAGAGAGAGAGAGAGAGGGAAGCAGGCTCCCCGTGGAGCAGAGAGCCCGATGCGGGACTCGATCCCAGGAACCTGAGATCATGACCTGAGCCGAAGGCAGCGGCTTAACCCACTGAGCCACCCAGGCGCCCCTCTTCTGTCCTTTGAGCCTCAGTTTTCCCATCTGTACGGTAGATGTCATGGACTTATTTAGCAGATATTTACTAAGTGCTAGCTGTGTGTGCGGGACGATGGACCAAGTGCTCAGGGGTGCTGAGTTGGATCAGGTGTGGTTTCCATCCTAACAGACTAGTCTTGCTGGGGTGCGGCTTTCAGATTGTAACAAGTTAATTGGTACAAAGAAAATGGGAAACCCTGCAAAATGCCCCGACAGGTGGGTGATCGCTGAGCCCTCTGTCCCCCTCACCTGCATGTCTGAGCTGTGGCTAGTCCTGCCGGTGGTGCTGTCCTCACCGCTTTCCCCAGCGCTCCCACTGGATTTTGCCACCGTCTCCAGCTGTTCTTCTGCTCCTGCTTTCTGCAGTTTCTTCTAACACTTTGGGCAAAATGACCCCACTGGCACTGAATCAGGTCATGCCAGCTCTGCCCAAGACCTTCTAATGGCGTTCTCTCTTAGTGAAAGCCACGTCCTTACCACAGCCTCCAAGGCCCTGTGTGCTTGCTGTGCCTCGCCCTCCCGTTTACCTCCTGGGTTTCTCCGTCTTCGTTACTCCAGCCACACCAGCCTCAGTGCTGTTGCCAGAACATGGCCAGCACGCTGCTTCCTCAGGGCTGTCTGCCTAGAATGCACCCCCGCAAGCGTTCTCATGGTGCTCAGCCCCAGTCTTTGTCCGATTTGGTCGCTATTGTAATTGCAGCACTGGCACATGATAGCGGCTCCGTAAGTGGGTGCCAAGAGTGGCCTTGAGTGGGTAGCTAAATGACAGAAGTCCTGGTTTGTTCAGAATGGGCAGGGAAGGAAAAGAGTACACCAGGGAGGAGGACATGCATACCCACAGACCCCAGGGTATGCAGAGCATGGTTTGTGGAAGCGTCTGGAAGGGCCCCAGCATGGCTGGAGTGCACAGGTGGCGGGGAGGGAGGTGAGGACACGCAGCAGGCGAGAGAATGCCGTCGAGAAGGTGGGCCCCGAGGAGACGGAGGAGGATGAGCCCTCCAGCCCTCCGCAGAGGGAATGCGGGATGAGGGAGGGTGCGGCGTAGTTTCCTGCTCCGGAAAATGAGGCAGCTGGATCTGCAGGGGTCCTTGTGCAGAGGGCCCTGTGTATTCGACTGTCCTGCTGTCGTCCCCAGAGCGTCTGTGGTTGTGCCAGAAGAAAAGCTGTCCGACGTGTACGGCATCTTGCAGGGCATCCCCCGAAGACAGATTGAAGAAATGCAGCGGCAGGTAAGAGGCCAGCCAGCCCTGCTGCGGGGTGACGTGGGTGGTCTGGAGGGTGGCCTGCCCCGTGGGGGGGGTACACGTGGACAGAGCCAAACGTGTAAGCGGGGTCATCGCCGCAGCCGGATTGACCCACTGACCTGAAGAGAGGAAAGTGGGCTCAGGTGAGTCATGTTGGATGAGGTTTGTGAGAGTAACTGTCGGAGATGCAGGCGCTCCCAAGGGGGAGCCTCTGTTTTTATGTTTTGGGGTCATCGTGTAGCAGCGTGTGCCGGATGCAAAACTGAACCTGTTTAGATGGTCATTCTCACAGCAGGTGATAGTTGTGACTACGGTAGCTCAGGAAGTGGGGACATTTCAGGGTGATGCTTCTGAGTAGCTCTGAGCAGGAGAATGTTGTCCTATCAGCCGGCCGAGCTTCCTGATCCCAGCGGCCTCCCTCGCCGAGCGGTGCTCCCTGTCCCCCGGAGCAGTGACACACCCCTGCCTCACTGTCCGGTTTCTCTTCCACCTCCTGATGCCCCTTCCGCTGGGCTGCTGTCCACGGTCTGCAGCGTGCCACTCGGGGCCCCAGATAGTCCTGCTTCTCTTTCTTTTCTCTTTCCCGAAAGAAATTTAGTTGGGCTGAAATGTCAAGTAAGTTTAAAAAAAAATTTAAAAGACTACCCCAGATTGGTACTGTGCTTTTCTTTTCTGTTGAGTAGATTCTTAAGGTTTTTATTCTCGTCAAGATTACCATTGTAGGAGATGAGCAGGAAAGAGGGTTGGAGGGGTCTCTGCGCTAAGCCCCTCATCTTTGCCCCACTTGGAGTTCCACCGCAGACGTCCTCGGGTTTTTCTGCACTGATTTTCTTCAGTGGCCACGTAGGCCTGGAGAACTGGCCACCGTGCCTCGTGCTGCTCCTCGGCTTCCGCATTTGGTTGCTTCCGCTCATCTCCCATCTTCTAGAGCTTAGAGTGACTGCGCCTTCATTTTTACAAATTTGTCATCGTCATCATTTTAGGGTTTTAGGAGGCAGGGGAAATTAGCAGATCTGTTGAGTCTGCCCTGTTTATGACTTTAAACCACGGAGACGGCCACGTCCCCCACGCTGGTGCTGCTCAGACTGCCTGCGCCTTTGCCATCTCGGCTGGGCACCCACTCTGCCCGCGGCCAAGGACTCGCCTTCCCTGGACCTCAGCGACCTCATCTGTAACACGTGTCGGTGTTGTGATAGGAAAGCAAATTACAGGGCCCCCTGGGTGGCTCAGTTGGTTAAGTGCCTGACTTTGCCTCAGGTCATGATCCCTGGGTCCTGGGATCGAGCCCCGCTTCTGACTCCCTGCTCAGCGGGGAGTCTGCTTCTCCCTCTCTCTATGTGCTCTCTTCCTCTCCCTCTGTGTGCGCGCTCTCTCTCTTAAATAAATAAAATCTTCAAAACTAAACAAAACGAGCCACAGTTGGATTTTAGCCTCCCCACTGTTTTTTTCAGAGCTGTTCATGTTCATTTTAAATGTTTGGGCTGCTCAGTTATTACTTGGCCACTGGTCTTATCTGAGTTTCAATTTAGAAGATCCGTCTGGAGCTCTTTAGATTCTTCGTCTAAACCTACAGTTCTTACAAGTTGTGTAGGAGAAACTGTTCCTTTTCACAGAAGAGCAGGCCTGGTGTCTGAGCTCTGGGTTTCTCTTTTACGGCATCATGATTTATTAACGTAACCAGGAAGAGAGTCAACTGCCAAATCACATACCATCTTAAGATTCCAGTCTGACAAGGCCAAGTAGAAACGCAGCACCATCCTGCTGGGAAGGAGACTCATTGGGTTTTCGGAGCCAAACTCCCCTGGCCAGCTTGTGGAACGGCATCGTTGCACAGAGACGGGTGGGGAACCACAGGTGTGAGGCAGGCACAGCTGGGCGTTTCTGAGTCTGGGCTCCGAATCGTAGAACTACTGAGATGGAATGGATAGAGGTCCTTAAAAATAGAGTACTTTGGACCAGTCACCTCCTCGGGTGGTGAGTGTCCCACGTTGGGTCAACTTGGATAAAAGGGCAGTCTAGGCACTTGCCTGCCTCCTTTTCCAAGTCTTCCTTCGGTCTTCTTATGTCCCTCTTCTTCTTCTTCTTCTTCTTCTTTTTTTTTTTTTTTTTTAGATTTTTATTTATTTATTTGACAGACGGAGATCACAAGTAGCCAGAGAGGCAGGCAGAGAGAGAGGGGAAGCAGGCTTCCTGCTAAGCAGAGAGCCCTATGCGGGGCTCGATCCCAGAACCCTAGGATCATGACCCGAGCTGAAGGCAGAGGCTTTAACCCAGCCACCCAGACGCCCTCATGTCCTTCTTCTCTTCTGCTTTCAGACCTTCTGAAGCACTCCACTACAGTGTTCCATGGAGCTCCCCTTTCCCTGAATATTCTGTGAGCCCAGAACAGCCTCTTCTCCCAATCTTAGACTTCTAGATTGGGCTGATCTCAACCAAAAGTGAGATGATCTGGTTGAACTAATTCCCAGAGAGGTATAAGGATGACCAGGTTCAGCTACTAGATGCCAATAGCACATCCCTTTTCCAAGATCCAAAAAAGTCTTCAGATAACTGTTAACTGCCCGGTGTGGGACAACATTGCTTGGACTGGGAACTACCATCCCAGTGATACTGAAGCCCTCATCTAAGATTAGAGAGAGTTCTTTTGTTCTCTAGGACCCTTTGCAGAATCTGCTTGTCATTTTGCCCTCCGTTTACTGTTCATCGATTTAATGTGACCGTGGCAGGAGTGGCTGCAAAAACAGGACACACTTGGTTCTGGAAAGTTTTTACACCTTAGTGAACTCTCTTTAGGGAGGTCCAATTTGGATCTTTTTGTAAGACAGGCATAAACTTCAGGGAAATCCTGTTGTGGCCGTAGTTGATGCCTTGGAGCCCCTGGTTGATAGGTCAGAACGAGCTTGAGCCTGAGCCACAGTCTGTATGTCTTGCTCCACAGCTGGTTAACTAGTTTGAGAAGCTGCAGGGACAGTTGCAGCCAGCAGAGGTCTCCATCCACTTTTAAGTGACTCATTTTCCTTTGCACCACGTAAATGTTTCCGAGAAATCCTAAGGTGCTTCTGACTGGCATTGTCCTTATAGTCGGTCTCCAGAGACCGTTTCTTTCAGACGAGGAAGAAGTAGTGCTGAGCACAGGATTTTTGCTGTCTGCAGGTGGAACAGAGCTCTCTGTCTGAATTGACCCCAGTGGAGCGGGGGTGCGATCTCGGTGATGGAAATATTACTGACATTTTGCAGCTCAGAGCTCTGGACGAGGGAGGCTGCAGGGTGGCTGGTGGGGACCGTGGTGAAAGTCTTCATCATGACTTGGCATTAGGATGAACCAAGGGAGAGACACTTTGCCTGACAAGGGCGAGTAAGTAAATTTGTCTCATGACTTTAGATGTGATATCGAAGCAACCATAAAGTTAAGGACAAGGCTAGAGCCTAGAGAAAGTCCGTTATCTACTCCTGAAAGCTGACAAGAGTATTGGACAAGCTAGGGGAGGCTTATAGGTTTTCTTTGTGGGTAAATTAGAAACCGGTTCCTTCAATTAGTAGAGGGTGAGAATTATAACAGTATAAAGCCAAATCATGAGTTGACCTTTTATCATCCCATAAGCTAAATTAACTAGGTAACTTAGTGAAGCCCTAATTAAGTGTTGTTTTTTCAAGGGGAGATGGTGGGAGATAGTAATAAATCTGTGATCCCCACTCACAAAGGCCTACTTGTCATCTTGGTGATGTGTGGATATAAGCATAGAGAAAGTTGAGAAAATGGTGCACGTTTTCCAAAGTACATTAGGGATCTGAAACGGAAGGAGGAACTTATGGGCCAAAGTTGTCAGGGACAGCTTTGCTGGGGAGGTGGTGGCATTTGAGGTAGGCCTTGAAGGTGGAGAGGCCTAGCAACCGCCTTTTTTACATTGGAAGACAGGAAGAAGAATGCAAGTGACTATTTTTCTGTAGTGAGCAGAAACATTCATATCCCCGGTCTCTCTTGAATGACAGTGGGAAAGAAAGTAATCTAGGATCTTGGAAGGCTGGGTAGACACAGGACTGTAGAGTTGGAAATGTTTGTGTGCATAGGGAGGAAGGCGTAAATGGATCCGCGGTTTATCTGTTGAGTGGAGTTTCCAAACATTCTTTTATTGGTCAGTGGCTCCACCAGCAGTGACCTCTAACCTCAGCCACACTAGGAGGTGGAAGTCAGGAGCCTGCCTTGCCTTTGAACTCTTCTTTGTACTCAGTTGACTGGGAGCCTTTGAGGTGGCAGAAATAGTCAGCATCTTCTCCTCTCCCTGGCCTTTAAGCTTGGGTGAGTTAAAATACCAGTTTCTTTTCATTCTTCTACACTGACCCATCTCAGTTTGCCTTCATACTTACCTATTAAGTGGACTGAATATTTGTGCTGCTGAGGAGCACTAGAAGATATAATCGGCTGATTAGGAAAAAGACAAAACACTTCTATTTAAGAAACCAAAGCCCCAGGCACGTGGCACCCTCACCGACCAGGACGATGATGAGGCCTCGCTGTGATAAAGGAGAGGGCAGAACAGAACCCACAGCCGTGCACGTGTGTGTGCACACCAGAGGTCACGTACTTTGTCCGTGGGACTGCCCCTAAAACGAGGCTTGTATTTTATTTTAAAATTATGAATTTATTTTAAAATTCTGAAATTATTTAAGTTCAACACGGTGACTTACCCAGTTTTCACAGTCGCAGTTTGAAGTCACAAATCGGAAGGGCAGAAAGACCGTAAGGAAGGGTCTCTGAGATGAGTCCTCTGCCAGTCTGGCGTGAACGGCGAAGATGGAAAAGCTGTTTCAGAAATAAAACTCTCCGTACATCGGATATATGGCTGATGCCTTTTCAGGCTTCACTGCGTCCTGGATGCATCGGTGTGAGACGGCAGATTTCCTTGATTCAAAGAAGTACATGTTTGTTTGTTTTTCATGTTTTGGATTTCTGACATCCAAAAGAGACTTGCCATCAGTTTGAACAT